GTGGGCACCATCAACTTTTTTTTTTTTAATGTGAAGAGGGGTCACGTGGTACCTTGTTTTGAAGGCCTTTCAATTCTCTATCCAACTCTGCATTGTGTGTGAAAATCAGTCAAGCCGTTTCAAAATGACAAGCGTTTGAAATGTACCTGGGAAACAGTAAATCACGTTCAGATTGAATTCCAAAACCGATTTTTCAGTGTCAATAAGTGAACGATGAACATTTCGAGCATGTTTGAGCACTTGTTACAATTGCTTCTTGAAATCATGTTGCAATTAAAATTTATTCAGATTTTTTATGCATTAATATTAATATTTGAAGCAAATTTCAAACGCTTGTCATTTTGAAACGGCTTGGCCGATTTGTACAAACGAAGCGGTGTTGGATAGAGAATCTAAAGGACTTCAAAACAAGGTACCACGTGACCCCTCTTTGAATTTGAAAAAAAAAAGTTGATGGTGCCCACTTGATACTAGGTCACGTGACCACAACCATTTTCATGCCAAATAGTAGTAAAAAAGGTACCTTTTTGCCTGAATTTTACCCGACCCCGCTAGCTTGTTCCGTTCAAAGGTAAAAGGGGGGGGAGGACTTTTTACGTCCTCACTGTATAGATAGAACATGGTATTCACTACTGAAAACTGAACATGGAAATGGTAGATTCAAGATCAATTACTGGGAACATCCTGTAAATCATTTGTATACTAACATCACTCATTCATATGATAACATTAGTATGTCTCTGAGAAGTGTCAAACTATGAGGCAATTTTTAAAGAAAAATATTTTTGCATTTTCATGTTGAGATCGGTAACAGATTCGTTCTCGGAACGTCCAAAGATTAGTAAAAATTCTATATTTTCTAGCTCTGTTTCTTCTCTTCGAAAATTTTTCCAAACGAAGTGTCACTGACAAGCTATTAAAATTTTTTTTAGGCTCCCTGAATGTCACTGAACACAGTGACATTTTGGAGCAAATCATGTGATTTGTCCTACTACACATATATTGAAATAATACTCATATTTTTATTTTATGGAAACGTAATATGTGTTGTAAGAAGCATATTACGCACGAATTGAAAAGTGCGTAATTGCTTTACAACACGCATTACGTACTATACTTTACCTACTGCCATATAGTACATCAAAAAAGTTTGGACAAACAGTCTGAATTATAATTCTTGACAGTTATGTCATCCGCTGTTAACGGAGATTACGCGATCATGACATACCTATAATGGCGGAATAAACGAGAACTGTGCGATGTGCTTACTGAGCGTAAAGAGCTACTTACTGAGGCTGTATCTCTTGTGTTCTTGTCTACTTTCTATAGTTGCCGTATGTAGAATGAATTTACTACCTCCTTGATTAACTTACAGACAGTAAGTGATTGTTTATGTTTCACTCAATATCTATCTCAGTTAATATTGGTTCTACAGAAACGTTCAAATATGCAAAAGAGAAGTATTTTTATGGGCATTCAGAATCGAGTACTAGAAAATGCGAAAAAGCATTTATAACCTAAAATTTTGACATGCACTGGTATTTTTTGAATGGAGCACCCTGTATTTTATTTTTCTAAACGGTAGAGCTCTTTCTTCTGATTTCAAATATACAGGGTGAATCTGAAAGTGAGGTTTTCCATTTAACAGGGTATACGGGGTGTCCCTAGACCAGTGGGACAGTTGAATATCTCCTGAACCAATAGGAATTTTCAAAATATTATAATTTCACATCATATCGCATTATGAGTGCTTACTTCAGGAATGACTATATTTTATACGAGGGGCGCAAGAAAGGCTCACAAAATCGAACATCAATATTTCAAATGGAACACCCTGTATTTCATTGCATTTTCATATTCTCCTCGAAGAGCTGAATTCAACGACCTAGCACACTTGAGGTCTAGCGGGAATGATTTCCGAGATATAGGGTGTGGAAAATCGAGATTTTTCATTTTTGGGAATTTTTTGTGTCAAAACTGTTCATTATTGGTCAAAACGGCTTACATGTCCGTATCTCAACTTTTGATCTACTATTTACTCGTATTTAATTGAAACAAATACAGGGTGGTGTAGAATTCTGACTGAAACTGAGAATTCTACACCACCCTGTATTTGTTTCAATTAAATACGAGTAAATAGTAGATCAAAAGTTGAGATACGGACATGTAAGCCGTTTTGACCAATAATGAACAGTTTTGACACAAAAAATTCCCAAGGATGAAAAATCTCGATTTTCCACACCCTATATCTCGGAAATCATTCCCGCTAGACCCCAAGTGTGCTAGGTCGTTGAATTCAGCTCTTCAAGGAGAATATGAAAATGCAATGAAATACAGGGTGTTCCATTTGAAAAATTTGATGATCGATTTTGTGAGCCTTTTTTGTGCCCCTCGTATAAAATATAGTGATTCCTGAAGTTAGCACTCATAATGCGATATGATGTGAGATTATAATATTTTAAAAATTCCTATTGGTTCAGAAGATATTTAGCTGTCCCACTGGTCTAGGGACACCCTGTATATCTCGCCAAAATAAGTTGTTTGGCCTAATGCTTTATTTCCCTCCTAAAGTTTTCTGATTCACTTTAGAACGATAATAATAATAATAGGTTGAAAATGTAAAAACAGGTTTTTGATTAGTGTTTTTGATGGAATAATGCAACTGTACGGTATCTAATGCTGGACACTGATAACGGTTTTTTTTTCGTTTTTTTTTCTCTAGAAAATGTAAACAAAATGTTTCATAGTTGGAGTCATCTTTAGAACATTAAATACCTGTACCTCCGTTATCTTAAATATTTTATAGGAGCATTTTTTGCCAAACAACTTATTTTAGTGATATACAGGGTGGCATTGAAAAATAAGAGGAAATATTTCAAACACTGAGAGAGCTCGACGTGTATTATCGAATGGCACTAATGAAAAAAAAAGGCAGGTATCGAAATAAAATTTGAGGTTAGACCCCTTTTTCCTCCCAAAGTTTCACACTGTAGCAAATCTGACGTCACCTCTGTTCAAATTTCCATGCAGTAGGCACAATCACGCGGAGTTCAATCATTTTGTTTTGAAGTGGCGTACTTGATTTTTTTCTCGTATTTTGTAAAATTTTTGGAATGGAATTTCTCATTAATTGAAAGAATTAGAAAAAATCTGATATTATGAGAATATTCGTTAGACTGTATCATATTGATTTGCTGAGTATGTGCACTAATTTCAAAAACACCTTGTATATATCCTGTTAAAAAACCTCACTTTCAGATTCACCTTGTATATACTTCATTGAGGTTATCGTTGTGAGTTTTTGGAAAATATAAATTCGAAGGCAGCTGTAGAACGCCAGAAATTGCATTGCCGTCTGGCGTTCAACACCTGCCTTAGATCTATAGGTACCAAAAAATGTATGAAGAAAAACTTTTTTTGTGGAATCAATAATAAAAAAGTTTCCCATTATGTAGCCGACTCAAATAGACACGCTATTTATTCTTTCAGTCGACGTCCATAAGCACATGGCAGTGACAGCTCACGTATGATTTTTGAGATTTTCTGAATGAGTGATAGTTCATATTTTTCATAGTTTCAAAAATTGGATATCGATGTTTGCTTTTAAATCGATATTTATCGATATATATAGATATATCGATTCATATCGATATGTATCGATATCGATCGATACATATCTAACAAGAATGGTAAGGAAGGCAAATTATGAAGATTTGAACTACTTTCGGCATACCCTTATCTACTTTCAGACTTGAACTAAAGAATACTCGGCTCAGTGATACTAGACGTTTGTATGTGATTGATCTCTCATCATAATATGATTTTTCATAATTTTGTGTAGTATAATATGTGTTTTTTCTTTCTTATGTTTGTAGAACCACTGTTTCAAAGTAGGAGTGTAAATGTCCTTCTAGTGAGTTATCATTTGTAGGAATATTTTAAAGATGGCAATTATTAATTATTGTTTCAAGATTTCACTTGTACAGTGTTGTATTCGATATTTTCGTGAATAAATAAATGATACATATAATATATTCATATAATATATCGATACATATAATATATCCAAATATATCGATACATAAAATATATTCATATATTATATCGTTACCGGTGGTGCAACGAAGTACCGAAACTTCATTGTTGATGTGCTCACACACATAGAACATTCATCTCAAATATCAAAAGCAAGGTTTAAAGTAGTGCTGTGTGATATTGAAAACTGGATATTGATATCGATGTAAGCTTTGGTATCGATATATCATTATGTATCGATATATCGATATGTTTCGAAATATCGATACCATCAAAAAAACAAGTCAAATCACAAATCTATTAATATCATTGGATGAAGTGGAAGGAGTGGCAAAGATAATATGAAACGTATTTCGTCATATCACTTCAAATGAAGTAAGAAAAAATTAAAATCAAATCGTGGACATTTGGCATTTTGATAAGCATCGAATTTTTTTTTTATGTTGTGGTTCCCACGAAAAAGGATATCCTGTAATGTTCAGAAAACATCGTGAGAACCAAGGGAAATATGGTGGGAATTGGTGTTCTTCTTGAATTTATGGAGATTATATGCCTCAGGGAACACCTCCCTTGGCAATGTGTTCCAGAGCCTCGCTGTTCGTTGGAACGAGTCATTGGAAAGAGATGTTCTGCAGGTCTCCACTGACCACGAAGGGGTGCGAAGTCTCAACTCGACGGGTCAATCTCGCCCTAACTCAACCGACTTTGCATCTGTTATGGTTACCAAGATTCCCATAATACCCCTCAAATTTGGGACATCCTGTATACTGCATATCATTGACACTATTGGCAGTTTTTACCTAGGTAATGTTTCTTTATCATTATTAACCTAGGTCGAAGAAGTGTTGTCCACTTCTCATCAGAGAAAACCCTTGAAACATGGTGATTTCTCAGGTGAGTAGTGGAAAATATATACCTTACAAAATTAGTACAAATATTTCATTATTAAAATTTTATAAACTTACGTCTCTGATTTGATCACATAGATCCAATAATTCATCCACTTTCATTTTGTTATCTGATATGTCCAGCATCAAGAGCATCTTGGCGAAGACCAAATTCAGTTTGCTTTTTGGTTTCTTCAAAATCTCGCCGCATAAAGTTGTCGCCAGGCTGGAATGAATGTAGGAAGCCTGAAAAAAAAAGGAAAAAATAGCACCCATTCGCAATAATGTGATATTGAGTGTGGCTGCATTACATTACATTGCATTACAATATTATTGTAACATCATATTTTTATTATTATGTATCACCCTGTGATTAAGGTCGGATCAAGGGAACGGGGAGTCAAATTATGAACATTTTAAAAATTTTCAGGACATATCTGTTAATCGTTTTAATGTTAACTGATGCTTTAAATTACTATAATTCAAATTTTGTGAAAACCATGTGTAATCGAGTACCTTTTAGTAGTTAACAAGTTACGCAATGCAAATTTTATATTGGGACCACTTTTTTCCATTGACATAGAAGTTTTGGATATTTATTTACTAGAAAAATCGAAATCATCTTCGCCCATGGAATGACATTTATCTTAATGCTGATATGGGTTTCATTATCCAATAAGCTATGCCTCTGTACTGAATTTGAGTAAAATCGCATAAACCGTTTCAAAGTTATGAAACAAAAATTATTTGGAAATTTCAACATCGAAGCCGTCTAGCGTCCAAGCTAAGAAACTTTATACTTAGGTTAATTTGCTCTGATCTGTTTTGTTCTGAGGACTAGTTGTCTAATTTTTGCAATGAGCTTTTAGGCACTCTCTGTTTGAAATATTTTTGATGATATTCAGGATACAATTATGAAAATCAGAATCTAATTTCGATAATCTTAAAATTGTGAGTGTTCCATTTAAAAACTTACATCTGGGGATGTCTTGCATAAAGCTAACATGAATTTTGCTATATTTTCAATGTTGACGTCCGCTAGCGGGCTGGTTCTAGGCGCCGAAAACAAAGTTCGGATCGTCATTAAAACGGCGTCCATAAGTTGCTCTGTACATTGCGTCATCGATGGCATTTTTTGCAAAGTGTACCCGATTATTTGCCTCAATCTGTCCGTTTCATCGTCTAAAACAAAAAAGAAAACTATTATTGGTTACAGGACGAAAAAAGAAAGGAGTTCCGCAAGGATCAGTTCTTTGGCCACTCTTTCATATGTATGGATAAATAGCATCTACCCCGACTTCGCTCGCGTTGAAGCCGTCAAATAAATATCAAAGATCATCACATCACAATAGAACTGAATGAATGTGATCCAGTATTTAAAATTCACGACATACAGTGAAGTTTCAGGAATTGAAAACTTGCTCAGTTGAAATAATTTACTACAAGATTCGAAATGTATTTCACTCCGCATGGATTATTTGTTGCGCCGTCTCTAGATGGACCCATTCAGGTAGTATTGAATTCGTGCATTTTGGTTGCGCAGAAGACTAAAACGTCAATGTAATTCGTGGACAATGTCTTTCATGGTCAAGTCACTGTATAGCAAAAAATCTGAAGGGCATCTCCCATGCAGTAATGAATTTGCGCCTTCGAAGTGCCCACCTGATGTAAGGTTAGATATTTGTCATTTTTATCTATCATTACATTACATTACACACATAATCCGATACTTACGATTCACAAAAGACGTATTTTAATAATTAATATTTAAGGTACCGACGTATATTTTCATGCCTGATTGTTGAATATTTTGTGCCCAAAAATCATGTCTGCCAACATATGTTTTTTTACCTTGCGTGATTTTTTTGTAATGAAAAGTATCCTGTCCTTTCTTATACATCTAAGAATATGTATACAAAGTTTTATGATTATCGATTGAGTAGTTTTGACGTGAGAGCATAACAATCTTACATTCACATTTATAATATTAAGTATAGGGATAGTCGATAGTCGTACCTGTTGCTGGATTGCACCATTTCAAGACTAATCTGCAGATCAGAGACGGAGAAATGATCCGATCGCTCAGTATAAGTTGGCATAGTCCCAGTCCGGCCTTCTCTTGGATTTCGTATTGCTGCAAAGAATGATTATTTGCCTGTAAAAATTTTCACTTTCATAACATAACAGAACTCGCACAACTGGAATAGGTACTAAAAGATAAAAATAATAATATAATAAGAATTCTCATGTGAGTTGAGACACTATTGAGTTTCTTGCACAATATTATGTGAAAATGTAAATACTTATTGTAACTTGAAAAGAAAACGTTCTTGGCATGTACCTGTATCACGATGCAAAAATGACGACCTAGACAGTTGTAACTGTAGGACGTAATTTTCTTTACTATTACCTCATTTTGCTTATTTGAAGTATACCTCATAGTGTTCAAGCTTAACTTTAAAAAACGCGCGTTTTCTAGAAGATGTCACAATAAGATGAACAATTCAAGAAACATGGATTTTAAATTTCAACTTATCAATAATGAAATACAAATAATGTTTAATCCATTTTACTTGATTATTTGGCATTTTCTCTCCTAGTTTCTAAAAAATAGAAATATGAGTATTATTTCAATATATGTATAGTAGGACAACTCAGATGATTTGTCCCAAAATGTCACTGCGATTCTATCAATTTTTCGGAATGAAAAATTCAATTGCCTTGTCAGTCATACTTTGTTTGGAAAAAAGTTTGAAGAGAAGAAATATAAGATGAAAGTGATATCGAGGAAACTGTAAAGTGAATAGGAAAGAGATTATTGGACATAGTCCTCACAAAGAGATAACCGTATACACGTGTTTCGGGCTTTCAGCCCTCATCAGTACGGTGAAAGGAAGTGCAAAGGATGGGCAGCAATTGGTAGAAAACGAAACAACAAATAAACGGAGTCAACAAACAAATGTGCGGCTGGCTTCTGTAGAAGAAATATAGATATATTGAAAAAATATCGAATTTTAACTTGACTTTGAACGTTTCTGGAAAGAATCTGCTCCCGTTCTCATTTTAAAAATGCAAGATATTTTTCTTCGGAAATTTTGTTCTAGGTTGAAACTTCTCAGTGTCATACTGATGTTGGCATATGGATGAGTGATGTTTTCATTGATTGATCTTGAATCTACCATTTTCATGTTCAGTTTTATCGTCCCCATATCCATTATGACAACAATTATTCATCACGTATTCACCCATTATACATCATTATTAGATACCGTTGATGTTCGCATAAGAAAGTGTGTTTGGAAACTATTGATCAACATTTTAACCATTTATTGAAATGATTCAGCGCCGTTACATCTTTCTGGATTTTTCAAAATTTCTACTCAATCTCATGAACTTTCTCAAATTCATTCATACAAACATTATAGTCTGGCTCCTAATTTCAAGAAACACGTTTTCAGTGTTATCAATGATCTGGTAATGTTTAGACGATGCTCAAAATTCGTCTCGAACTACACAATAACGGAACCCGAAAACAACTGTACTACTCATTCATTGACAAAAAAATATATGTCCTAAGGGCATTGTACATTACCGAACGGCACCTGTGTCAATCACTATCCTGAGAAATTATTCATATTTAATTTATGTTTAATTTCAACTCACCTTTAGAGTTCAAGCATCCCTTTCACTAAGATGCGTTCATAGAGCTATCAAATTAAATATAAATTATATATAAATGAGATACTATGAACAGACCAGTTCCTGTTAATGCAAAAGCATCCATCCGAATTTTCAGAGAAGTAAGAAACAGAGGAATTATAATCAAAACTAACAGTGAAGAAGAAATAAAAAGGATGGAAGAATTGAGTAGAAAGGAATTGGATCAGGACTATTCCGTACATATTACAAAAATAAAACAACCTACGATGGTCTTCATTAGAGTATACAAATGAGGAATTATTGAACGAATATGCGAGCACTGAGGTATATAGAAGTAGAAGATAAACTGAATATAACATATTCACGACAATCGAAATTTACAAAAAAATACTTCATATCATCATCATACATAAGACAATTATAATCAAGTTATCGAAAAGATGTTAGAGTCTTGTCGTTGATTAAAACATAAATTGAGGAACCCATGATATTATATTTGATTCTTGATTTTTTAGAGAAACCAGCATGTCCAACTATTTCTTATACACCATAACAAAATATCATGTAGACGTTGGAGACTTGGCAACATTGTGCTGAATGCTGTTCACGTTCACCCGAGCGTTCACCGGTTCAAATGTCCTCTAGTGTGAATTAATATGATCATTATTTACACAAATGTATTATAACCAATAAGCCACAACACATAAAGGAAAATTTTGAGACAATTGATTTTTTAATGCTAATTAGGAATATCACCAATACATAATAATTGAGAATTTATGGATTATTGAATAACTAATATTTCTGAAGTTTCCAATCGTATTTCAACATATGACAACTGTGCTATGGTCTGTCCCTGCTGACTAAATCGTGACGTCAGTTTTTACTCGCGGTAAATTATCATTCGTTTGTAATTTATCGTGGCATTATAGATGATTTTGACACCTTAAAATCGACCACAAAATTGAAAAAAGAAAAGAAATTGAAAGGTATTTGAGTGATGATTCTATTCAAGAAATGAAAAGAAATTAATCCACTCGCCTATTGTTAGGGAACAAATTGCTTCATATCAATGATCTGATGGGAGTAACAACTTGCCCCATCCACAGCTTTGCAGATGATAGTACCCTCCATACTGCGTTCTCTTCCAGAATTCCCATTTCTTCCCAGGAAACTGAGAACTCACGGCGCAGGCAGGTCAATGCTGTCAATGAAGATCTTGCTGAAATCACAGCCTGGGGAACGAACAACCTAGTTGAATTCAACGCCACCAAAACTCAAGCCTGCATTTTCTCTAGAAAGGCGGAACTCAGTATGCCCGATATTGTAATGTCTGGCTCCACCATCCCCACCAAGCCCACCATATCTATGCTCGGTATTTCCATCAGCAACACTCATTCATGGGATAATCATGTCAGATCCATCGCAAAAGCTGCTTCACAAAAACTCGGATTCTTGTTTCGTGCGAAAAGCTACTTTACACCTCAACAGCTTCTCCTGATCTACAAAGCGCAGATACGGCCTGTTCTAGAATTCTGTTCCCACATATGGGGTTCAGCACCAAAACATACGCTGATGCTCTTAAATTCCATACAGAGAAGAGCCATTCGCCTGGTGGGTGACACCACACTCACTCACTCTTCACTTTTCTATCGATACTTCCACGGGAAATGTTCTTCGGAAATCTCTGCAATCATCCCTTCACTAGCAATACCAATCAGACGAACTAGACAAGCCCAGTCAGCACATTCTTTCGTTGTCAACCTCGAAAGATGTCGAACAGCACTTTATCAAGACTCCTTCATCCATAGAACGGCTAGGCTCTGGAATTCATTGCCTGTGGAAGTATTGCCCAACAACATATAATCTCCAAAAATTCAAAAAAAATTCCAATACCTACCTCCTGTCCCTATCCTCCCTAGGATCATCATCATCATCATCATCATCAAAATACTTTATTGTCTGAAGATAGATACATCTTATTGACAAAGTCTGGAATACTAAATTTAAATTTAAAAGTTTATAGTTCCAATATACACACAAATGTTGAAATCAGTTTTTTGGACAATACACAAGATAGTCAATCAATAATACAAATAAAAATAAAAAAATAAAAAATAAAATAATAAAAAAAAAATTTTTTGTCGACACATCATTAAAAAAAATATATATGTATATACATGGCACAGTCTGTGCACGATGTTCTTTGAACATTATAGGGATTCCGTTTCGTGCGCTCCAATCGATATATATAAAAAAAAAATGATTGACAGAAATAATAAACAAACTGATAATGAACTGGGCATATTATATCTGAATGAAAGATCGATGAAGAACGAGATGAATGACATTGACGTAATCGTATATGATGATAGAATCAATGTAACAATAGTTTGTGAAACTTGGGTGGAGGAAGAAGAGGAAACATTTTATAATGTTGAAAATTAACAGTAGAGAAAAGAGGGGTGGAAGTGTAGGTATATTTAGAATATGAATTCGATTTTGAAGTACTTGGTACTCGATGAAATGAAAGAAGATCACCCCTTTTTGGCAGTGAGAAAAAAATCAATAGATATCGTTAAATGCGCGATATTCTGGATCAAAAATTAGAAAATTTGAGCAAATTGAGATGTACAGTCGTATTCAAAAAAAGCGTAAAAGGACATCAGAGAGAGAAAAATTAACATAATCTTATTTGGGTGAAACCAAATGTTGACAGTAAAGTTGTCATAGGTTCTCAAAAACACAAAGCATTGGCGAAGCCAGTTTCACACAACTAGAACTAGTATGACCTAAACCTCTCTTTTTAATACTTGTACGCTTTTCTATTGAATACCACTGTAAAAGCATATTAATAGGTGATATGAATGTTGATCTTCTTAGGCAGACCGATATACTCATTTAATTATTTCAAACTTCGTAACCCAGATATCTCAACAAGGGATAGTGTAAACTGGATGTAAACAAACATTCAATGCACTTTCTATTACTTACTTGAATATCCGTAAGAGGGCGTCTCGCTTAATTTGAATCGCTAGTAACGTGTTAAATTTTTTGACTAAATATCAGATTGTCAATCAGTGATTGATCGATAATTTAGCGTGGTACATATCCGTATGATAAATGCCATTTTAGTAATAGAAGTAAAAAAAATATATTGTAACAGAAACAAAGGACAACTCACCTCGTCATCCATCAAATCGACCAACCCCTGCAGAATCCCAGTCAGCGAAGTCCCTCCCATGAAGACCGCCTGCTGCTTCTCCTGCATGCTTTCGGACAGCTCCTCCCTTTCGGGCACGGCCATCAGCTGGGAGCCGTATATGCGCAGCAGGTCGACCACCGTCGAGATGCACACGAGCAGAGTTTGGGTGTCGCACTCTTCGCCGTTTTGGTACGCGAATATCTGCGGGATATATGGATTTCTTTGAAATAAAACGTAGTCTGATCCTGAGTAACTAACAATAGATATTCACCGCGATTCATTCATAAATCATTAGAAGAAATATCTGAATAACACCGAAAAAATTCGAGGAGTGATTCCTTGTGATATTCTAGGAAATAAAATTCTCATAAACATGTGTCTTAACTTGCTTCGTTTTCGAGATACAGGGTATTAATATTTCCATGAAAAATCTTGTTTCTATTCATTTCTGAATTGTCTTTTCATCAATTTCAATGAAACGTTTTGTTAATAGTATTATGGAGCTTCTTCTAGTGCAATTAGATTCGAAATAATATTTCCAGTGGCGTCACAGTGGGTAAATTTATCGATATTCATGGTGAATGTCATTGTTCACCACCGGTTTTTCTGAGTTTCATATTTTTATTAGATTGAACTATTGAAATAACAACTTTTTTATCTTCTGTGTGATTTTTTTATCTAGTTTAGTTTTTGAGGAAACGATAAAAATTCGATTTGACTCCATATTTGAATGTTAGTGTTTTCAAGACTTCCATTAACACGTTGAGCGCCAAGCCAAATTTTAAAAAAAGTCGTTATGGGCCGAAATGATTTTTTGATAGATATTGAGCATATATAAGTGGTGTGTGAACCATTTTGTGATATTCTTCAAAACAAAAATATTATGTAAGCTCATGAGGTGTAGGTCCCATAGGACCTACGCGGTCCACCATACCACAGTTAATATTCTCTCAACTGTGACCATACTATGAAATGCTGTTACTGGACCGTTGGTCCGACTGTTCAATGAAGTAAACGGCCGTTTTCGCCGTAAAAACCACTGCGACGCAACAATAGACACCGAGTCGACTGCGCCAACGTGTTGTTCGTCCTAGTTTCAGTAGTTTCACTGTGTGGACCTAGTATTGTGATGATTGCGAGGAAAAGCCAGCACTTTACCTAGATTGTTTCAATCTATTACACTTAAAACTGTTTTTTGACGTATAAATGTGAAATTATCTTTATACTTTCATTCCATTTCATAGTTCAATTATCTTCTTTTTATTACTGGAAATTTAATAAAGAGAATATTTATTTATATTTCGACAGTGCTTTTCAAACCTAGGGACCACATTCACATGTAAAGAAAAATTTCGTTGTCCGTGTAGAAATTATCATCCTGAGCGACCGTGACGGTCCACCCATACCATCAAACACTTTATCGAAGAGTCCCAACGGTCCAAAATCAATATAACACAATGGTAACATTGTGTAGGTCCGTGTGGCCCTACGCGGTCTGAGTGAACCATGAGCTGACGGTCCCTTGGGCGCTCAACGTGTTAAGATTACTCAATAACCCCAATTAGAATCATTTTGAAATTTTGGAGCTTTCTCAGTCTCCATTCATACTGAATTTTGGCACTATACAGGGGGGTTATAAATAAAAACAATTATTACTTCCATCTTCAACATCCTGTATCTCAAAAATGAAGCAAGTTAGGACACATGTCAATATGAACTTTATTTGCTAGAATGTCGCAAGGAAACACCCCTTGAATTTTTTCGGTGTAATTTAGATACACCCTGTATATAACAATCATCCTAAACGGCAAACACGAATAAATGGATGAAATCGCGAAAGAAGGGGATAACCATGCGGAATCATTGTCAGAGAATTCTTCTTCATATACATTATGTACTTGATACATTTAATAAATCGGGATATCTATAAACGTACTGGTCAGCGAAGTAAATCCCATAAAGACTACCTGCTATGGATTCTTTTTGAAAAATAAAAACATCCGCATCCTCAGAGTAAATAACAATAGATAGACACCGCGATTCATTCATAAATCATTGAGAAGTATACGCCAAAAATCCTAAACGCCAAACAGGGATAAATAAAGGAAATCACGAATGGTGAAAATATCTCTGCAAAATCATTTCCAAAAAATTGATATTCTTGAGGGGCAATGAAGAAGCTGCATTCGTGAGCCACTTGCAGGCCAGTTTTCGCTGTGGTTTTCTCTCAGACTGAATAACAATGCTTATTTTCTTCATATGATTTTAAACCAATCAGAACGTTCAAATCAGTTAAGCTACCTTGTATAATTTCTAATACACGTGGATATACATAAAGCAGTTCCACTAATCAGAAAATTAAGAATTATTTACATTTCTATAGTAACTAATTCTTATTGTTACATTCGAACAAAGCTCGTCGTCAAATTTTGACGTTTGTTCAGAACTACTAGAAAATAATCGCACCGAATACAATTCGAGCCTCAAAATCTCTAATTACAATTACACTCTTTGTAATAATTATGCAACAAGTTATCGATGTATAACCCGAATATTTTGAAGAACTTATACCGGGTCTTCAACAATGATTAAACACCACGTGACCATATTCGTATGCAACCAGCAAAACATTTTTGTTATCATGTTTACTCAGGTAACATATATATGTCATATTTGCACCTTGGATCATTCATAACTGTAGTTTCTAGTTTTTACGTTCTGTAGTTTACGTCCTTCGCAATTTGATTGGTCCGTTAACTTGTCAACTGTCATAGCAGCCAATAGCATACCTCGTTTACAGATATTGAAAACAGGGGAGTTGTATAGCGAATCTGTCTCTTCAATTTTGTGTTATCGAAATTTATACTGCACAGCTGTAGCTCATTAGCACCCATTAGCGCTTTGTTGTCTTTTCTCCTGGGTTTGTTGATAGTTTATATGGTTCTTGATTTCAGTTTATTGTTCTTTCATTTGATTATTCCACTCAGAAATATTACTACGCGAAAAACAGTTTTTATCAAAACTACATCTTCAATTCATTGTCGTGAAAAGGTAACACCATTATTATACGGTGAGTCAATGAAATGGGAAATAGATAGATGAATAAATTTTTTTGTGATGATCTGGGCTCCTGAGTAGCATATTTCTGAATCACTTTACGTAATTCGGAACTATTGAGTCAGAATTTTCTTTTTAGTTTAGTGTTCTATACCTTTTCAACTTCAATTTCGGAATCGGTGAGTTATATTTCGGAAAAAGTAATCTCGATTTCAGAATTGGTTAGTTCGATTTCAGAAATGGTAAACTCAATTTCAGAATCGGTGAGATGAATTTCAGAAAAAGTCCATTCAATTTCAGAAATGGTAAGTTGTATTTCAGAATTATTATTGGTAGGTTCAATTTCAGAAGATGAAATCTTTTTATATGTTTGAAATGTTTTTAATTGCAAAAGAGAAGATTGTTTACAGTGGATGGAACGGTGTTTGAGAGCCCTATGTTAAATCAGATTGAACATATATGGGGTGGGGTGCCTTCAAGTCAGAAGTGAAGAGCTTCTTGCAAGAGCATCGCCAAAGGGTCATAGCTGGAGATCCGAACAGATTGCTCAACTAGATAGAATTCAGACTGCGATGTCTTGAAGAATGTGTAGATCATTCAATGAAAATGATAACACCTCAAATGTGTTTGCATTCTTATAATCATGTATAACGCCACTATCTTTTAGCGATTCAGATGGAAAGCATCTGTGGATTAAATTTTTTTTGAAAAGTTGAATATTTTAAGTATGGTTTGTTAATCTCACATGCAATTGGAAACATTTCGAACAAATATAAGGATTTTTTTTTATTATATTGTTCCTACCAATTCTGAAATACAACTTACCATTTCTGAAATTTAATGGACTTTTTCTGAAATTCACCTCACCGATTCTGAAATTGAGTTTACCATTTCTGAAATCGAACTAACCAATTCTGAAATCGAGATTACTTTTTCCGAAATATAACTTACCGATTCTGAAATTGAAGTTGAAAAGGTATAGGTGTTATGAATATATGTATTTCCAGATTGTCACGTTTTGTATCAACTACCTGTACCCCCCTGTTAAATTGATGTGCAGTTTGGATTGCTGATTAGTTAGATATTCCAGCATTTCCAGCGCATTACACTGTATAGAACCTTACCGGTGTCGAAAAAATATGTATGCCGGTGGAGGCTGTCTCTTTGTCGGCGATACAACACAGTCCGTAGCATTTCATCGCTTTTACACGCACGGTATCATTGTCGTGTATCAGCAGCTCCTGAATCAAATCCTCTTTCAGCGCTCTCATCGAAGCCGTCAACCTACAAAAAATATTGGGTAACTATTTAGACTATTCAGGATCTCGCTTCGCTTATATGAACTGCTATACAATATGTTACAAATCCGTGGCTAAGCATATGAGGATCTCGGTAACCTTAAGAGATACAGAGTACAACTATGAAATAGCCACAATGCTCAAAGTGGAATTAAATGGTAAATAAATACGAAAAGCTCAAAGTCATTTCCATACAAAGTTCATAAAATGAACAACAATGGTAGATTTCGGAAGAAAACAACTACTTTCCTGGCTAATGCCACGCAGAACATTGAATTACATCCTCCCGAAATCTATGCATCGACTCGTATAAACGAATACTGATACAGGTGATTCTTTCCTGAATGCCTATCGATTTCGATTTAGCCAGGCCACGCTAGACAACCACAAACCGGTTTCGAGCTCTTTGACTCTCATCAGTGCAGTGTAGTCTCCAGCCAACAGTCCTAAGACCGCCGACTCAGCGAAGCCTAGCCAAACAAAAATCAAGTTGGCATTATATTTCCCCCGAGGCGTCTTTCATCGACAAGATGAAAGTAACACCATCTGAGTAGAACTGTAATACCTACGCCGTCACCAAACGAAATGACAAAGCCGTCACCAAACGAGGGGCTCCTTTACCACGAGGGTGATGTACCAATCTGCTACCCTCCAGCTCCCAGATAAGGCTACGGCTTCGGCTTCCTGCGTCCTAAGGGATGTAGTGGATTGGTGCCCCTTATGAATGGTTAAAGGGGTCTTTTTAGGATCACTATGGGGGGAGAGTTTATGGGTGGTCAAAAAAATCATGTGAAACCTCCTTAGCAGTGTAGACTCGCCGCTAATGGCTGATATTTCTTTTACGGGTTTAATTTCTGAGTGAAACAACTGAATGAGATTTTACAAGTTTATTAAAAAAATATGAAACGAAAGTAGGCAAGTTAATCAGTGTTAAGTAGCTTGATTGGGAGACAAAACGAAAGAAAAACAAATCTTCACATGCTACACGCAGCGTACAAAGAGCTAGATTGACTTTGAACTAATTCTAATACCGGACAGTAAAGAATGGTAAAATTTCGATTGTTTTCTGGCGAGTCTACGATATCTTGACATTCAAATTTTGCCACCAATTGCACCGAGAAAAGGGCCAGACGCCGTTTATATGTACCAGTAACCAAAACTACCCGGTGTAGGGTGGCAACGTACATACAGTACTGGTAGATAGTACATATAAAAGAATCTGGGATCAGAAAATCAAATGCAACCCCACAGTATTAGTCACGAAAATGTCAACAGACTTACCGAATCTGCGACGTCGTCGTCTCAGTTTTTTTTGGATCTCGAGACACTCCCGGATTCAACACGAACGAAACTACCCTGATACTTAAAAATTACTCTTTTTTTCTAACGCGACCACTTCGCGATTCTTTCGCCGGACCGACCTGATTTCCCCAAAATCTGGTCGCTGACTGTCCCAGTTATTTTTCGTTTTTCAATCTCGACAATTTTTTGTAGCAGCATTGCGTCAGCCGTAGCTACCAAAAATTAAACAACAATTTTTTTTGAACTAGCATCTTCATATTATTTCATTGGGTCGATAATTCGAATTGTTTAGCTATGGAAATCCTTGATCTTATTCTTCAACAAATTTATTTAATAATAATTATCATAAAATCGATGTACCAGGTGTTGCATTTTCTTTCTATATCCCAGGATATTACAGAACAGAGGAAAGAATCACTCCAAAACTGAAATTCCCATACGGGAGTGGCTGGTTGCCCGACTGGCGTAATTTCAACTACGAAATAGCCACAATGCTCAAAGTGGAATGATATGTTGAATAAATGCAAAAAGCTCAAAGTCATTTCCACACAGTGTTCATAAACTGAACAACAATGGTAGATTTCGGAAGAAAACAACTACTTTCCTGGCTAATACCACGCAGAACATTGAGATACAGAGTAGGTTTAATAGGGGCAAAATTGCATCATTTCAGGCTCAAATGCTGCTTTGAAATTGAAAAATTTTCTATCACTTCCAGAGATACCCGAAAAATATGCAGAATCGTTTATATTTATAGCTCAGTTTATTGGAAGACATATTTCAAAATGAATGTCACTTCATCATGACCATTTTTCCTCCTCTACAAAATGGAATTGTCAAATTGGAAATCCGACGTTTCTCATTCGAGCGGCCATCATCAACTTTGTTTTTTTAAATACGTACCTGGGTTTTCTATTTGATTTTTCGATAATTTTCGATATACTTGATATAATGGTGTACCAAAAAATAATTTATAAAATGTTTACTTCGGTGAAAAAATTGTTTAAAATAGGTATGGAGATACTCATCTTTGTCTAACACAGCGTTTTTGGTATTAATTTATCTTTGTCTAACACATTACTCATGAAACTGTCAAATTGAAAATGTGACGTTTCTTCTTCAAGCGGTCATCATCAACTTTATTATTTCAAATACGGATGTGGATTTTTCATTTCATGTTTCCATAATTTTCGATTTCCTTGATATAATGGTGTATCGAAACATTAATTAAAATGTTTACTTCAATGAAATAAATGTTTATAGAACGTATGGAGATTCTCATCTTTGTCTAATACAGCGTTTTTGGTATTGATATATCTTTGTCTAACACATTAATCAGTGTGAAGAACCTCCTTCATAATTGTATTGCTGTTTCTGATTGATCCTTAGAAATCACCTATTAGTAATTCATAGCCATCTGAATTCTTGCGTCCGAAACGGTCAGAAGCATGCGCAGTTTCACAGAACTGTATGATTTTTTGAGTTCTGTGGACTTGTGCATGCTTCTGACGGTTTCGGATTGTTTATTTTCTGAACGCGAACAATCCTAGTTAGTACTGTCAAAGGTCACAGCAACGAGGAAATCTATGGTCACAGATACTACTGTTCTGAGAAATGATGTTGACAGATCATATGATAATAGTTTTGTTTGTGTGGTTGCTGGTTTGTAAAATAATTGTAAACGTTAAATGAAAAATAAAATAATTGGATGTTGTGTCTTGTGTCGTGATAATCGTGATATGGTCGTGATCGTGATTTTCAAATGTGAGATTGCCAGGAAGGATATGTCGTCGTCGAGTCGTTTTCGATGGTTTAAGTGCGAATATGAACCAACAAGAACACAGGAAGATATTAGTCTGGAATGGACTCGATATTAGTATTTGTTTGCTCTAGGGAGTTTTGCTGTTCGAGCAGGTATGATAAAATCTACTAGGTGAGTCGATTTTCAACTTTGTGTATGTTGTGTACCTATTTATTGTCTGCTAATTTTGTATCTACCCGCTCGGGCCTTATTTTCGAATTGAAGGAAGGGGGACGTTCTATCATTCCCCTCATGTTTCTCTCCGTCTCTCGTGATCCATGGAGATAATCACCCCACAGTTCTCTCAGTAAACTTTAAAAAATAAATACATATTACATTCACCTCTATTAGTTTCCATAACCTATTCCAATTCATATTCATTCTGAGACAAATTTTTATCAGTATATTCGTCTCTGAAACAATCTGGTTCAATTTTCAAAATGAAATTTCTCGTTAATGTGAAGACTTAGGAAAAATCAAATATTTTAGTAATTTTTGTTAGACTCTCTCATATATATGTCTTGAATATATGCACTCATTTTAAAATCAGCCTGTATATATGAATCTAATTTTTTTTACCTGTTTATTTTAGGAGACAGCAATATCGCCGCTGTGATATCCAAACATTTGATGGTGGTCACGAGATCCGTTTTCTTCTCTTGACGTAGCTGCGCCGGTTCCTCCTGTTTGAGGTTCGCCAGAGAAGCGTTCGCATCGCCGATCATGTTTTTTATTTGTTCAGCTTCCATGTAATCTTCTCGTTGAACCGCTTCCTCCAGAGACACTCTCAGCTGATTCAATTTCACAGTCAATTGGGAAATCTGAAGAAAAATCAATTGTCACTTCTCATGACTGAATATCTTTTGCAAAGTTGTTCATTGTAATTTACTTGTCCTTATCATCATTATTTCTCCAATATATTGCACCAAAATGTCACTGAAGTTGTTTGTTTGAAGGTTATAATAAACCATGAAGAGAATTTCAATCGAAAATCCATGTCACCGTGTTTGAAAATATTTCAAGAAATACAATATAATAGTATTTTGATAATATAAATTTCCAAGTTGATCTTTACGGCGAAATCAAGAAACTCTGGTTTATTTAAGCTGAAACGTTTCTCGTTGAATGAAAAGTCGGAGGAATTCAGACCTTCTTCAGGCATGCCTCAAGGCTCAATAGTAGGTCCATTACTGTAGGCGATTCAAAATAAGCGATACGCCCTCTTGCGGATTTTTTTCATGTTTGAATTCTTCAGTAGAGTATGTTAAATCATTATTGCTCCGTTTCACATGTTATTTAGGAAAGTTTTCTCAACTGTATTTCACAGAAAATGATAATTTCAGTCAGTGCGTGTCATTGAAAGATTTTCTCTCAACTTCGAGATTGAATTCAGTTGCATTTTATACCGAGAAGTGAAAAGTTACAGAAGGAATATATATAAATGAAATCCTTACTCAAAGCAAATATGTCCAATTTTTCCTACTTGGTAGATCAATTATTCGCAGATACATCCAGCTTTTTTTCTTTCATAAACACATGTAAGTAGATAAATCGACTGCAATACATACATCTCAAATACTTACTTTGTGAACATCATATTCACTCCACCCACTAAGCAAAGTTGAAAGATATGTTGATGCAATGTTGAAGCAATTACCGAAACGGACGTTCAGCAATATCGCAAAGGTCAAGATTGAGAATGTAGCGTTGCAGCAATATAACATGTTACTGTGACATTGATGGAATGTTACATTCACAAATTCACATTTGCAATGTTGCAACGTCCGTTTCAGTAATTGCTACAACCTAGCACCATCATAGCTTCCAAATTTGCTTGTTGGGCACTTAATTTGCATTTATTTTACTACTGAAGGGTAAGCCCAAATTGGGCCATTTTTATTTTGCGAATCTCATGTATTTTAAGTAGTGCAACATACTTTATTGAACGAATATCTACTGAAAATCTCTCTCGAATCACAAGACTACACAAATGAAAAGTTTTCATTGCTCAAATAGCTATAAAAAATCTAAATAGTTCACACAAGCAATTGAACCATTTCAAGAGAATGTACCTTCATATAGTTCCACAACCGGTCACTTTGGCGCTGCGATCTCAAATTCAGTCGCCTATTTGTCTAGATAACCACATCGAATCATCAAATTTCGCGGTAATCGAGGTAATCTGACGTTGCGATGCCATGAAAACAACGGGAAAACATTCCTTGGACCTTGGATACCGCGAATTTTTGCTATTTGCAGATGATCTGAAGCTTTATCAAACCATTAGTGAAAAGTGATAGCTTGAATTTTAAGAAACACCTCGATTCTATCACCTCGTTTGTGATGTGAATGATCTGAGGCTGAATGAGGCAATTAATAATCCATTTTCATAAATAATTTGAAGTTTGGTGACTTTGAGATCAATAATCATATAGACTGTATAATCAGAGATGCAAACCGAAAATTGAACTTACTGAGAAATTACAAAGAATTCAAATGGAAAACAAACATCCTTCTGTTCAATGCATTCCATTTGTTATATTAAAACTGGATTGTGCTCCAGCAATATGGAATCCATCTACAGCTGTCTGAATTCAGAAAAAGTTCCTGAGATGCATCTTCTACAAAAGTTAAAGAAAATCTGCTTTTATGATTGCTAGTGGTAGGCAGTTGAAGCTTTTTGAGGTAGATACGTTTTCAAATCGGCGAAAGTTGAATGATGTGCTTTTTATATTTGATATTTCTAATGATACATTCAATGTACCTGAACTTCTTTCCAAGATGATGGATGTATGTTTTTAACGTCATTCTTCTTAGAAATAGAACTGCGTCTTCCTAATAGATTCCGATTCAGATTCTCCCATACCAGGTGAGTAAAATTCGAGTAGATGTATGGGGATCTCGGAAAGCGTAAGAGCTATGGAGAGGGTTAAATGTTGTTCTAATATTGTTCTAATAGCGAATTCCATTCGTAAACCTGGTGGTGCACTGGTTTTGCACCCGCACTACGTTAGTTCTCTCCTCTTCAAAATGTGAACTGGTGCATTCCCAATGGAATACGAAATAATATAATAAAATTTTAATGTTGGAGGTTAAATCGGATAAATTGGTTTGTATTCGTTTATAACTTGTCCGCATCCTTAAATTCTTTCTTGGCTTCAATTGAGAATAAAGTAGATGTTTCATGAAGATAATTTTGAGCAGTTTTTTTAATAAGTACCTCTTCATCATTGAATTATAGTGCAAAACAATCAACAAAATTATGAATTCTGGGAAGTAATCTCTCTTATTTTCTTGAAACTTCCAAATTTTCATCACTATTTGATGATGATGATTCGATTGCCACTTAATTTTGGTTTCCAAACTATGCATTTTCAATGTTTCCTCCATTTTCAAAACTGCACCTACTTCGCACGACCTATTAGAGCTTCTGCAAGAATTGTTGCACTGAGCTCTAAACTATGTTAACCAGTTTTCCAATGGAATTCAAAACTCGACATCAGTTTTATCAATGGAATACAAAATATGCACTTGGTGCGACCCAGTTTTACCAATGGAATTCGCTATGATATTGTTCTATCCGTCATTCGGTTGCCCCCTTACGAAGAACCCTCAGAAGTCTTCGAGAGTCTTGTGCGAGCAAGGAATGACGGGGGCTTTACCTTTTAACGTCTGATCCCAAACACTTCTTTGGGCCATCAGAAAAATTTCTGCAGTCGATAGTAATCAAACCCACTACCGGCAAGCGAATGCGGATTAAAATATTGACACTCTGTCCGCACGGCTACCTGGCCCCTGTTTTATAGCAGAGATATGACCTATGTATAGGGTGAACAACTAATAACGGCTGTCGGCCATATCTCAGCAAACGAATAATGATACCGATAGGTGGCGTAACGGCTATGAGTAAAGAGAATATTGAAATTTTCACCGTATTTAGTGGTAAGAAGGTGTACTGAAAATATATGAAGTTTGATCCTTGATAAATTCCTAGTTTTTTTTGTTTCACACTTTTTGTCCCATCTCAAGAAATGCAGTGGTAAGGGAACGTCAAATTATGTTTTTTCTAAACGTCTGTGACTCTGGTTTTCTTCAACAGAATTCGTGAAACTTTGGCATATTTGTAAAGACCTCTTCCTGTTCTATCAACTGTGATTTGGATTGTTTCCATATTCATATCACCGTTGCTGCTAGAGGGCGTGATCTAGAGTATAAATGGATGACTTGAAACAATAAATAAGGAGGTTAATAGCAGCTCTACCAACAAAATCAAATTTCAAAGAAAATGTTTAATGACTATAACACTTTTTATTCCAACTTGATATTAACTGAAAAGACGAATGACTATGGGAAAAAAATCACAGAAACATATAATAAATCAAAAACTATCTGGAATAAGAATATGATAACATCTGCAATGCATGCTAGTGAAATTTTTAACGACTTCTTTATTAAAATAGCGGTACTCCTGAAAATGTTAATTTTGATAGTTGTAATTCTATTTTCTTGAGTGATAACACTACAAATGAAGTTCTAGAAGTAATCAATGGCTTGAAGAATAAAACTTCATCTGGAGACGACGGTATAAGTAATGTAACATTGAAAAGAATCAGCAGATATATAGTAGAACCCATGGACGTATAAACAAAGAAGGACCCATTTATTTACATCGTAATGTGAAGTCAGAGAATACGGTCACGGTATATGACCTGATGTTGAATTGGAGGTTGTCACGTCCTGTCGCTAATAATTCCTAACCTCAGTCTAATCCTCTCAAGTATTTGTACTTACCTCTTTTGTAATCATCTATTCAATTAGATGTTCATTATGATCCAATCCATAGAACTCAAGGAATAAATCATATGTCCATAGATAGTCACAATCAAATATTAAAAAACTGTCGTTATACATCTTTTCGAAGTTATTCTGTGTTACCGAGATTATACAAAACCGACAACGCCGCTGCAAAACAGGCTCGTTTCGTGATGTTTCGTGCTTTCGGCGTTGTTCGTTCATGTGTATGTGTTTGAGGAATTTTATTGTTTTCGTTGTTTTTGAGTGAATTTTCTTATTTTTTTTGTGAAAAGTTGATAGACAGAGACTAATAATGGTGTTACACTGCTGGATTTGCGAAAAAACAAAGTTTTAATACCCAAATTTCACCTTCCATTCGTAAGTACCATTTGTTTACATGTTCGAATTAGAGTTTCATAGGCGTAACAATTGATATTTTCATCAAATAGAGAATGCGAAGTCTCGATGTATTTCTTCATATATGTTTATATCCATCTTTTTACGTACATAATTTATCTGAGAACATTCCTTTTCAATGCTTTTCTGTTAAGAGGAAGTTGTACTATGATATAAAGCAATAATGCAAGGGTTTCGTAGTCCCTAACTTTTCACGGTCATTTTCCATTTTGAGTGGATGAAAAAAATTTTACATATTCATGAAGATATTATAAATGTTTCTGCCATCTTACTTTTTCGAAATTTGATTCGGTTCTTGAGAAAAAAGAATGAAAATCATCAAAAAACACGTTATTTTGCGATTTTCTTGAAGAAAAAACTGAATCAAATTTCGAAAAAGTGAGACGACAGGAACATAGATTACATCTTCACAAATATGTACCGATTTTTTCATTCACTCAAAATGAAAAATGAACATAAAAAGTTAGGGATTACGAAACCCTTGCATGGCAACAATTTATGTCCAGAGAGTGGCGCCGCTCTCAGAATTTATAGGAATTACCATTTATGAAAGGAGATGAAAGATACATGCCTTATTTGCACTGTTTACGGGGGTCTGGCATGTGTAAAA